ATTACTTTTTTACCAATTTATTAAAAATAACTTATGTTCTTTTAAAAAATGATGATAAATCTATTATTTTTGTTTGATAAAAAACTTTAATTTGAAATTAACTTTAAACGGGGTAGGTAGCGGGTCGGGGAGTATGTTTTCCCGTACCCGTCTCATACCCACTTCGGGACAATGAACCTCGTCCCATCCCCGTCCCGTTTACCCGATTAGGCAAGTAATCCCCTCCCCATTCGGGACGGGACCCTACGGGTATCGGATTAAACGGATTTTTTGCCATCCCTAATGCCTGGCGCTGCGGCGCTTGGCAAGCTGCCCCGAATTTTATTTATTTTTATTTTTTTCAAATTTTTCTCCATCCAAAATTCTCCTTCACGTCTAATACTAATTTCTAATTTTCAATGGGCATCAAAATAGAACTTCAACTTGATATAAAATTTCAATAGTATTCCAAATTTGAATTCTTCGTGACTTGCACTTCAATTAGAATTCTTCAATACTCCAAACAAGGAATTCGGGTCACAACCAAATTCTAACATCAATTATTTTTAAACAACCAATCGGTACACATTTGTCACGCAGTATCAAACAAGATCGGACAGAGTAAAATAACTTTTAATACAAGTAAATGGAGCTCTACATAAAAGAAATTTTGGCACTACATCAAGTTTATAGCAAGTACACTGCTATGTCGATATGCAAGAACAAATTATATCAATAATGCAACAGCAGGGTATTTAAGTAAAAGCATAAATTTTCAGCCGGCAAGCACAACAGCAAACATGTTTAATTATTAACAACCATGGCCTCAAATACAAATCTCATTAGGAATTAGCCGTAGCACCTTATGGGATCATTACAACCTTTTTCGGCTGATTGCCTGAAACCAAAACGCCCTCCCTTGGCCAGGTGCTGCTGATGGTACTCCTCAGCTCTGTAAAATTTCTTGGCGGGCAGAATCTCGGTAACAATCTTCATGTTCAAGAGCTTTTGGTGTCTATCCCGGGATTCTAAAGCTGCCTTCTCTTGATCAGGAGTGTAGAAGTAAATGCCAGATCTGTATTGAGTTCCCACATCGTTTCCCTACATAGTAATAGTAGAGTCGTAAGTATAAACTGCTCGAAGAAGCGAGCATCAAAGAAAAGGTGATGAACACTATAGAAGTACTAGTTATAGCAATAGTAAGGGTGTGTGTTTGATTGGAAAATTATCCATGGAAAATGACATTTTTCTACCCAAATTCCAACAACTTGATTGTTTGATTGCCATTTTTTCTCTACGGAAAATATTTTCCCTTTGAAAATATGCCTAGTTTTCCTTTTTTTTTTAGGAAAGCACTTTCTTGGTGGGGAGGGGGGAGGATTTTTTTCCCCTCAAAACAAGGAAAACATTTCCTTTTTTAGGAGGCACTTTCCATGCCAGTCAAACACACCCAGAGAAATTAACAACGATTATAATATAACATGCACAAAATAAAACTTTGAGACTGAAAACTAGGTTTATTTCAGATAATGAAAATATGAGTTTTATTATTTTCATTTTTTGGCTGTGCGTGTTGGGGACGGGGGAGGACCCAAAGTAGTTTCAG